TAATCTAGAGACACATGTTCATACATGTTTATTGATGCTCTGCTCACAATAGCCAGGAGAAGAAAAAGCCTAGATGTCCATCAACTGACAAATGACTAATGAAAATGTATATTTACACAATGAAATATTATTTAACTGTTCAGAAAGATGAAATTATGAAATTTTCAGGTAAATGAATGAAAGTGGAAACATTCATTCTGAATTAGGCAATCCAGACCCAGAGACACAGTTGTACATTTTTTTTCTCAGTTGTGGATGTTAGCTTTGAATGAATATTCAGATATGTGTTTTGTGTGTAATGCCCATAGAGGCTAGGATATTTCTAAGGGACCAGGAGGACCACACACACAAACACACACACACACACACCACACACACACATACTACACACACACACACACACACACACACACACACACACACACACGCACACGCACACAAGTTAAAATGGAGTTATCCTATAATTGGGAAACAATGTCCATACTAGACAGTGCTCATAACTAAAACCCCAGTGGCAGGAATGTATTACCTCTTTTTAGTTGTAGGTCCGGTAGACTCCCAAACATTATAGGTTGTTGCAATCATTCTTGACTACTCTTCAGAATGTTTTTCTTAGTTTTAATTTACTTTATTACTTTTGAAAAGTTTCATTGTGTTATTCTTTGATGTGGTACAATGGCATAGAACATTTTCACGTACCTACAGAGTACACACTGAGTTCATTTCACACATACTCCCTGACTTTGCCCTTTCTCTCCCTGGTGCCTCCTATCAATCCCTCTTTCCTCTAGAAGATTTTACTTCTATTTTCATGTCCTGTGTGCAACCAGAGTTTATGCATCTGTCTAAAATCTAAGGATCACAAAGGAGAAACATATGCTGTATTTCATGGTGAGATTGGTTTAATCCAGTTAATACAATTATCCCTACTAGCATACATTTTCCTGCAAATGCCATTACTTTGATTTCTTTATGGGTGAAAAATTCCATTGTACTCCTATACCACATTTTGTTTATCCATTCCTCTACTATTGGACAACTAGGTTTGTTCTATAACTTATCTATTGTGAGTAATGCTCCAGAATTTTATAATAAGACCCTGTTGCTGCAGACCACATTAAAAAATCAAGTCGTCATTGACCTAGAAAGTTCAACACTACTAACTAGCTATCATAGTGATCAAAGGTGCTATCTATGCTACTGGAGAAGAAAAGTAATCATCAATATGATCCAGAACTGAATCCTGGGAGCTACAATTATGATTGACTTGGCAAGACCTGCCCACTGGTGCAATAGTGGCTGCAACATCTTGACAGCAACCAACAACTCTCTGATTAAAGTTTTGTTCCATAAGATGAAGCACACACCTGAAACCATTGTTGGGCTAAGAACCTATGGCTAGACAGATTATAGGCCATATGTGAGAATCTATTACTGTTATTAACTAAAGGGACATAATGTATTGAATCTTAAAATCTTATCATTAAACCTGTATTAGTGTATCAACTCTCTCTAGAGAAGCTTCAATTTGCTGTAGATGATGATTAACATCAAAACCCACAATTGGTCAAAGTACAGTGAATAAGCAGAATGCTCACCCCTAAATAGGACATATATACCACAACTCTTTTCCCTACAAAGCTCTGGGAACATTGTGGAAGAGAAACACAGAAAATTTAAGAGCCAAAAGTGATGGATGACTGTTAGGAAACAGTGTGTTTTGGATAGAGCAGGACACCTGAATATTTGAACTCACAGTGTTTGTTACAGAACCCACAAACCCAAGTCATATCAAATCCTATCATGGGAGAAATCCTGTCTCAAGATTGTTCTAACTATTACAAATAACACTTCTATGAACATAGTTGAGAAAGTGACCATGTGGGATGATTGATCATCCTTTGTGTATAGGCCCACAATTCTTCCAGGGAATCTTGTCTCTACTTCATTTTGACTGGTGTGCCATGGAATCTCAAAATGTTTAAAGTTTTATTTCACTGATGACTAAGTTTCTGGACTTTTTTTTTTTTGTTGTTGTTTGTTTTATCGAGACATGGTGTCTTTGTGTAGCTTTGCACCTTTCCTGGAACTCACTCTGTTTCCTAGGCTGGCCTCGAACTCACAGAGATCTGCCTGCCTCTGCCTCTGCCTTCAGAGTACCTGGATTAAAGGCATGTGCCACCACCGCCCCACTTGAACATATTTTTGTGTATCTATTGGCCATCTGTATTTCATCCTTTGAGAACTCTTTGTTCAGTTCATGAGTCCTGTTGGGAAAGATTTTTTCCCTCTGTCCTGTAAGCTGTCTCTCCATTGGGATAATTGTTTCTTTTGCTGTTTACACCACATTTTTGAGGATGCTGTTAGCAATCCTTTAGCTAGATAATGTAAAGTGATTGGAAGTGGCTTGCACAATTGATCAAATGTTTTTGCATAATTCTCTGTGGAAGGATTAAACTTTGATGCTCTTGACACATTTTCCTGTGGGACCCACATTGTCCATTGTCTGTCTTTCTACCTATTTATAGGTTTGTGCAAGTGACGGCCATTGGCCAGTATTATGAGTGACTTTTTAATGACCACTACATTATGTGTGTGTGTGTGTGTGTGTGTGTGTGTGTGTGTGTGTGTGTAGATGGACATGGAAGTTAGGACAACCTGTAGGAGATGGTTCTCTGTTATCATGTTCAGGGATTAAACTTGGTCAGGCTTGGTAGAAAACACCTATACCTGCTGAGCCATATTCCTAGCCCTGACCCCAATATTAAAATAGTGGAGTACATTGCATGCTCAACTATGCTGTGGTCTTGGCACCAAAAAGAGGAAACATATGAAAGCATGTAAGCAGACCCTAAGAACAAACAAAATGTGATTGAGAAAAAAGTGTTTGATGTTGTAAGCCTGTTAGGTACTGAGATGGTTGATGATACAGTATAGTTCATGTACAATGTGATTTGTTTCCTAGGGAGAATGAGGTAACTTTAGAACTCAAATTTTTATAAGGAATTTCAATGATAGAGACTCTGAAATAATAAATAATAATAAATGGTTACAGTTGGGAGGGTGTCTGTGAATGAATCACTGGGTCCCTGAACCACATATGGAGAACTACTAATTCTCTTGTTCTGCTCCTATCCTTTAAAAATACTATTTTCCCATTCCTTATTAAATAATGCAAATTTGAGCAAGTATTATACAGGACAAGCTGGGATAGGCCTCCATGGTAGGGTTGGGTATGGGGAGGAAGTGATCTCTCTGTGCGGAGGGCTGGCTTGACAGCAGAATTGGAGCCTGAGTAGTGAGGGGAAATGTGTCTTGAATGGGGAGTGAGTCTACAAGCAGCAGCCTGATGTGAGACTTCAGAGCTTGAGAGGTGACAAGGTGAGCTGTGTCTGAGAGTGGGCAGGTACAGAGCCTCTGAGCTGAAGCAGGGTGAGAAGGCATCCATGCTTGAGGCCCCTTCTTGTTGGAAGTCAGAACGCTAAATGAGTGAGTGAGCAGAGGGTCCTCAAGGCCAGCCTGGTGTGACACCTCAGCCCTTGAAGGAGTTGCGGTTGGGCCCCAGTGCAGTGTTAGCTCCAAGTCAAGTTGGGGTCAGGAGACTCAGCAGACTGAGGGGAAGTTCCTCACAGAGGGTAAACCAGGCATGGATTCCAGGAACCAGGCAAGGTATAGAGTGTGGGAGTGAAAAACACAAGGTGGGAACTCAGTGACTTTCAAGAGAACGAGGAAGTCCTTGCTGGGGTGAGGAAGAACTGGGTGTCAGAGCACAGGCAGGTTAAGGGGGGTATTCATGTGGTAAGATAGTGCTGACATAGGTTCCAGAGAATGAGCAGGGTGAAGACACTGTCCCCATGAGGTGGGACAGTCTAGGGTGTATACTAGGTGTCTTTGTGTTTAAGAATGCTTCTGTTCATGGGGTGCCTTGAATGTGCTGTTAAAGCCTCAGGTAGGCCAAGAAGGAGCTCTACAGGGACCAGGCAGGAGTAGGAATCACAGCACAAGACAGAAATGGAGGCTTTATTGTAGAGGTCAGCTCAGACTGAGGGTCAGAATCTCAACTTTGTGAGGAGTTTGACTTCTCTAATGGCCTGGTTCCTCTTTTCCATTCCTTCCTATTTTCTTCTCTCCCCCATTGAGTTCTTGGTGTTTCTATGATTGTATAAATATCCTGGGTGCAAATCCACCTGCAACGTTCCCTTTGCAGGTCACGGGACTGGACGTCACGCTGCAGGCTCAGGGCAGCTGTCTGTTATTTCCTCTCATCCCAGCTGATATTGGGATAGTTTGTTTCTTGTTTAGGACCTATTTTAAAGAAGGGATGACATACATCTTCTGAGAGCAGGAAGAAGATTTCTTTTCAAATGTTTTCAGAAAGCATTTATATTAACAAGAACCTCAAAAATAAACTTGATTCCTCAGACATGGATGTAGACTTTCTTCCAGGTAAGAAAGCATTTTTTTTTCCTGCTCGTAGTGAATGATGTAAAGGACAAAGTTGGTCTTAGTTGCTTGCCATGCCTCTGGGTCACTTGAGTCTCACCAAGTGTGTTGCCTGTAGACAGATATGAAAAGTTGTGGGATTTTACAATGGAGAAGACAAGGTGTTGTCTTTTACCGTCTAGAGAAAATCCCACCACCCACTTTATTGTATCTTTTCTACATATAAACAAACATAAATATGCTTAACAAATTGTTTCAAAGTTAAACTATGGCATACTGATTTCCCCCTCTATCCGGTGACATGTCATAGTCTGTTGGCATTCAGGTTTGAGTAGCTTCTTTTACTCTCTCCCTCCTGTGACAGGGACAGAACCCATGACCTCACCCCTGGTTGGGAAGTATTGTAACTCTTTTAGAAGTGGTGACTGAAAACGTGGTGACTTTATCACAAAATATGACTTCTTGATTATTGCATATTTGAAGTTGGAAGCAAGCTGGAAGACTTTAAGAGTATATAATAAAATACTATGCAATCATAATAAAACTGATAAAGAAGAGATGATATAGAATAATGTTGATCCAGATGTGCTGGCACAAGACTGTAGTCACAAAACTCAGGAGTTAGAGGCAGGGGGGTTACTGTGAGTTTGAGGCCAGCTTGGACTACATAATGCGTTCAGTCTGCCTGCAGTACATACCAAGACACTGTCTCAAAAACTTAACAAAAAAATCATAAACTAAAAAAAAAATTATGGTATAATGTAAAAGAAAATGATGGTCATAAATCAGTGTTTATGATGTTCCAATTGTGGAAAATATATAATTATATGTAAAAGCTTTAAAATTGTTCGAAAGATACATCCCAAAATACTGACAACAATCATTTTGAGTGTCAGGAATGAGTGATTTTGTACATATGGTTATGTTTCTATAATAAACCGGATATTTCCTGTTTGCATTTTCCTATTATTTTGAACATCATGTTACTAGTGTTTATTATGCACAAAAAAGTAGAATAGGAGAGAGAAGAGGAAATAGGAACAGAGCTGAAGACATGAATTTGGTTTGTCTTTCAGCTCCTCAAAAGAAGACCATGAGTCATGAAAGTTGTCACAGATTCTCCAAGTTGCTCCTCACCTCATTCATAATACTTTTACTACTATTGAAAATCTTATTCTCAGTTGCTCTGATCAGTAAGTATGCTGCTGGGAGAATTAAACACAGAGAAGGAAAGTGACTCAGAAGATGAGTGACCCAGAAACCTGAGACAGACACTCTCTGGAGGGATGGATGACATTGGGAATTTCTCTCTGTTTCAGAATAACTCTTCTGTAAAAGTCATTCAATCTCACTGGAGAAGCATGCATTTGTTTGTTGGTGTCACAGAGGGAAATCCTGGGGCATCTGTGTTAGGATCCACTATTGAGAACAAACCTGTATTTCCTCATCAGCAGCATTTGGACACATAGACATCTGTTTTTTAGAATGAGAAGAGGGATTAGAAGACATGGACAGAGCTATTCCAGGAACAGTGCTCCAGTCAAGTTCCTTCTAATCATTTATTTTTTCTTCCAGATTGTATGAGACATGAAAGCTAATTTAGAAAGTAGTGGAATTCTTTATATATTGGCCTTCAAATTTATCAAAAACTAAAAAGCATAAATTATATTTTTATGTAGATGTTTTATTCATTCATGCAATAATTAGTAATATCCGTTTACTATATATATAATGGGCAGCATGTCAGAGAGTCCAGAAATAGCTACAGTCCCCAGTCTCAGGAAATTTGGAGAACAGTCAAGTGAACCAGTGCTTAAAAATTGCATGGGAAATGCTCTGCAGGTGAGAAGTAAGATGTAAGCACAGGGGGCTAAGAAAAGCTTGGAGCAGATGACACCTAGACCTGTGTGTGCCAGCAATGTCCTAGACATGTGGG